CGACTCGACGGCACAACAACAACAACAACTACCTAATGGTTAAGTGCTAGACTACTAACTGAAAGGTTGGTGTGATCTGCTTTTGAAACATCACAGCCTTGAAAACCCTATGGAGTGCACTACTAGTCTAATGCAAATGGGATTGTCATGAGTCTAAGAGTCAAAATGAACTTGGAGCAGTGGGTTTTGGGTTTTTTGGTTTTTTTTTTTAGTTTAACTACCCTTTTGGACCCAATGAAGACATAAAGACTTAGCTGAGAATTCAGTGTAAAGAATCACTGATGTCCTAAATTTATGCCATCAGTTTATTCTGTCCTTATATTTGTCCTTATGTCCTTTTGTGAGTTTTTTTTTTTTTTTTTTTGGAGGGAGTTTGCTTTCGTTTCAAGGGAAGAATTGATATTTTGCAGTCTAATTACTTGCAATGGTGCAATGACCTAAATATGTGTAATATTCTCTCTGCAGCAAGCTCCCTGTTTTGTTTGTGGTACCAGTTGAATGTCCTGCTCAGCGCTGTGATTTTGGGCAATCATTTTGTTTTAGGAGTCACCAGTGATTTCCATGTATTAAATTATAAATAAAATTATTCTCTAAGTGCCAAGGGACAGCAGAGAAGCAATTTACGTCATCTATATTAGTGCCCTTTTCATTGTTTAAATTTGAAAATTGATACATCAAAGTTGAAATGCTCTATTTTTACCTTGGTAAGATATATAATGTCAACAAATTATATCTTTGAACGTTTTTGAGAGTAAATGTTTGCCTAAGGTAAAATAGATTGTTTTACTTGAAACGTAATATAACTTTATAAGGTCTTTAATATGAAGTTCATTAATACATCATACAGTTTTGTAGGTGGTTGTTGTGAGGTGCTATCGAGTCAATTTTGAGTCATACGGACCCCATGTGACAGAGTAGAACTGCCCCATAGGGTTTCCTGGGCTGTAATCTTTACGGCAGAAGATCACCGGGACTTTCTCCTGCAGAGCTCCTGGGTAGGTTCAAACCACCAACCTTTTCGTTAGCAGCCAAGTGCTTAACCATTGCATCATCAGAACTTGTTATTTTGTAGGTAGAGCTCTATAATTAATAACAAACATTTTAAAAGTTCTTTTTATAAAAAGACTTTTTAATAGTAGACTGTTAAAAGACAGATGTTGGGGTATAACAACTATTAATTTTTGAGAAAGACTGAAGTTTTAGGAAAGAGTGAATGTAAAATGATGAGAGATACAGGGTAGTCGTTATTTGAATGTTTAAATCATTAGAGCTGTGGCTAAGATCATCTTTTAGTCACTAACACTTCCCAACTGTGTTGCCCCTAGCAAATTGTTCTTAATGTTTGACTTACTAGCAAAAAGGGAAATAACACAAATTATAGTTGTAATTTCAAGAAGCCAGTCTTCCAGTAACAGCCTACATAAGCATACACAGTCATAAAATGAACTTAATTAACAGTGTTTTATGGTGGGGACAAGAAGCTAGAGTCAAACCTGGGTTCTTGGTCTGTGAAATAAGGGTGGTAGACTATATGCTCTCCAAGGGCTTTACCAACTCTGAAATCTTGATAATTCCCGTAATTATATTTAAGTAATATTTTGTGTCCTTAGAAGGAGCCACATTGGGCACACAAGTTGTTGAGTATTTAGCTTAATTTTCAGTCAGCAATATTTAGTGTGATGACCCTTTACCAGAAAATAATTGTGCCTTTTTTACTTACAGGTTATGTTAACCATTAACTTCTTACCTAATTCAGTGACTTTTTTCCTCCCTTCATTCCTTGACCACTTTGGTATTTGATGCTAGTAACCACCTATTTCATCTGGAAGTCCATACTCCCTCGCATGAT